GAATTTTGTAGTGCTTGTAAATACAGCTCATGGGAATTTCCATAACAGACTCTTACTCGAAATGTCCTGCTCTCTTGCTAGCTGTGAAGCAGTGTCAGCAGCCTGGAAGTTGTGTGTTCCACAGCAGTCGCTGAAACGTTACCCTGCAGTCTGATCAGTGCGTGTCTCCTCTTTCCAGGTGGACTCTGAAGAGCCGGTTTTTGAGGCAGTTATAAACTGGGTGAAGCACTCGAAAAAAGAACGAGAAGCATCGCTGCCAGAACTGCTGCAGTACGTGCGCATGCCGCTTCTCACCCCCCGCTACATCACAGACGTCATCGACACCGAGGTATCAGCAGCCGGGGTCCACGGAGCCAGTAGCTGTGTGTGATTGCCACGTTCCCTGGCTGGACTCCTGCTGTCCTAATGGAACATGTTAGAAGCTGCTTGCTCTGCTGGTGCTTTTTGATGCTGACACTGTGGAGCTGTCCCTGTTCCGCTGGCGTGCCCACTGTTTTACTCAGATGTAGTTGGCTGTGCCAGCAGTTCCAGCATCCTCCTTTTCAGCTGGGAAGGGGCCCCATCCAGACCAGTTAGTCAGTTACTGTCTTTTGGTATATGTAGCACCTTTCTGCTGTCATGTTACTGTTTTCTAATAAGTGCTTTCTGCCTTTCATTTGTAAGTGCAGGTCTCCTTCTCTATGCTGAAGGCTGCTGGCATGCGATCCTAGGGAGGAAGTGGCTCCTCAGAAATTGTGTCAGGTGCAGATGGCAAGCAGGGACCTTTGAATGAGAAGGACGGCAGCTGTATAGGTCCAGGGCCAACACACAAGTCAGAGCCGTATCGAGTGCTGCTTGTTTGTGTGGCTGGGGTGTTGCAGAGACAAACCAAAATGTGGATGATGATGAGAGATAATTAAGCTTTTGCAATGGAAGTTTAATTCCAAACAGGAAGTGATGCTGACCCCATGCAATGTTTGGCAGAAAGGCACAGAGAAGTTCCGACCAGCATTCCGGTTTGATGGTGGTGAGAGGTGATCGGCGGTTACTAGCCCTTGTCACCTGACAGGTGTTGGATGTTGAATGACAGACTTCTCTGCTGAGAGAAATGGCTGATCTAGCAACATTCATCTTTGATGTGATATAGCTGCCTTTTATGGATGTTCTTAAATAAGGGCAGCTCACAGGCAATTAAGTTGTGCCAGAGCTAAAATGTCTTTAGTCAGATTGTTATAGGCCACATTAACTGAAATTGAAGCTAACACGAGAGGGACTGGTACCAAAACAATTGGATCTGTTCCAAAACCAGCCTAAGATAGCGTGTATACAGGGCCTCAGCCTTCTTCCTGCACCGGGCGGCCTCTCCAGGCTGGAGGTGACACACTGGTGGGAAATCATCATCTTGGGACAGCATGGGGAGGAGAGCGTTGGCCCTGTGTGGCATCATCTGCTCTGAACACCCTGGCCTTCTTGCACAAGCACCAAGAACTTATAAAAACTTATTTAATTAACTTATTGTAGCAGCATATAGCACCAAACACCCAAAGGGAACTGAACACTGAGCATTCAGGGGAGGCTGGTCCAGGCCCTCAGCCAGGGAGGGTAATTACGGCATTATGCAAGGAGGAGATGAAACTGTCTTTTGGCTGCAGGGCTCCCTGCTTCTTTTAAAGAAGACCTTACTGCTTCTGTAGTCTTTCGTAGCTCCATGTCCCATGGGCACAGGGATTGAGCTAATAGACCCAGCAAAACTGCTGCCCTGTGCTGTGCTCCTTGTTTCTTCTCTGACGGCAGGTGCGTGCTGAGAGTCGATTATGTGGGGCAGATCTATCCAAACTCATTTCAAGTGTGGTTTCGCTGCCAGTCCCCCTTCTCAGACATACTTATGCTGGCTTAAGCATGGCAGAATTGGCTTTTCCTTAGTTTTCCAACATAGTTGTTTTCGTTATGCAATGACACCTGCAGTGCCAGACTTTGCGTGAGAACTGAGCCATATCTTTTCAGCTGCAGTCCAGTCTTTAGTTGTCTTTGCATTTCCCTGTGTGCAGTATTTGCACCATGACACTACAAGCCACAGCCTGCACACAAGTCATTTCAGTGCTGTCTGAACTGACGAGAGTTGGCTTTAGGACAGTTCTCCTGAGGGATCTTAAAATACATTGCATGTACCAGTGACTCATGTTTTTCCTCAGCCTTTTATACGATGCAGTCTGCAGTGCAGAGACCTCGTAGATGAAGCTAAGAAATTCCACCTTCGGCCCGAGCTTCGGAGTCAGATGCAAGGACCCAGGACAAGAGCACGTCTAGGTGAGCAGCAAAGGAAAGGACACTGAGAAGGTCTGGGGCGTTGGCAGGTATTGTGTTATACACCATGCCTAGCACCTTGTAATTGCACTGAAGTGCTTCACAGCTGTAACTTGTTGACCCACAGTCCCCAGTGGTGCAGAAGGGGGACTGGAGCAAAGGAGAGGTAGGTTTTTTTCAGAGCACAATTGCTTAGTGGCAACGTGGGGACTAGTTGGTCGCCTTCAGTCCCAGGCCTCTGCTGTAACCGTAACACCAGTTTTCTCAGTTGTTGGTGCCTCCAGATAGGTTTGTCTCAGCAAGCAGCTGTCCAAGAAGTGTGGACAGATTTTCAGGTAGGTATCAGGCATCAATGCCAGAAACAAAAAGAGCTGCTAGGTGAGAGACAGCTGTGTTACAGTGAAGAGAAGTTTTCAAAGGGGAATCTCAGAGCACAAGGCACAAGGAGGGAGATGGAGAGGTCCCTCTTTCCTTTCAGAGATACTTGGGGTTTTTTTCTTTTCTCCCTAGTCGTGTTAAGGCAAATAAATCATGATTTTTTCCTCTATTTCAGTAACTCCCACCAAGCACAGTCACTGAATTGTTAGAAAAATGCTTGGCTTAGGGGTGTAAGCACTTGAGAGCAACATAAACAGTAGGAATGACCTGCAGAAGAAGGAAGAGTATTTTACTGGCTTCTTCATGACTGTGGCTGTTCCTCACCTGACGCCCCTTCTCTTATCTTCAGACTCACTCTCTCAGGACTGTCTCTGCCATGGCGTTGTCCCAGGCACGCTCACAGGGCACTGCCATCGGTGCCAGCATTGACTGCTCTTCCTGCAAGCAAACCTCTGTGCGTGTTCTCCAGTGCCGCTGCTTGTGTAGTGGGGGGGGACCCTGAAAAACCCTTCATGGCCGTTGCCTGTTATTAACACTGTTTTCAGGGACAGAAGGCGGTTTATCCACTAAAGGAGGAGAGCAAATTAGGTTTGTCAGAGAGAGACATTGGTTAGATTATTTGGCCTGAAGGGAATGTTGTTATGATATGGTTTGACCTCCAGCACAGTCCAGGCCACAGCGTGTCTCCTGTTTTTCTGGGAACATCCCACATCGGTTTCAATGACATGCAGTTCAGCTCAAGCTGTGATTTTAGAAAGACACACTTCACTTTGTTCTTAGCTGAAACGCTTCACCTGATAAAGGAGACGTCACAAAACTGTTGTATTGTTTAATCATACAGGGAAACGCTGTGCACCTTTTTGCTAAGGTTCATCTTCTGCATTCAGCCCTACCTTATTTAATTGATTCAATACCATCTGCTATCAGCAATGCTCTTACCGTGTGTCACTTAGGAGCTGTGATCAAGTTGTGTATTAACTTTCTATGGGATAAGCTGAAATGATTGCACTTTCGTTTGTCATGCTGTACAGAAGGCTTTCCAAGTTGCTGTTGGAGCTCTTCTGTGAATCCTTCCCAGTTATATTTTATTTAATTCTCCTTCACCTGAGGTGGCAGCTGTTTTGCTTTGTGACAGACAGCATCTTGTTACATCTTTATTGCTCTGTGTTCAGTCCTTCTGCGATGAAAAGCTGGACAGTTCTAAACTCTAGTAAAACTCCTTGTTGCAGAAAGGGCTCAAGGGATCCAGAGGATGCTCATCTGTTTTCAAAACTATAATATAAGCTTACCACTAAGGCAGTCATTACAAGGGAAGTTAAAACTCTACAGGTCACAAGTCTTATTTAGCTCACAAGGAGAAAATAAGAAAAATTAAGGACAATCTCAGAGAAGAGGAGTTAGAGGGAAGGCAGCTATGAAATAAAATACATACGACTTAAGAGACAATTCCTCTGAAAATATTTCATTAATTTTTCAGGCTTCAGTCAGCCTGACTTCTTCCTCAGTGAAATGGTGAACAAAGGTGCCGTCGGGTCCAGATGTCATTTGCAAACAAGGGCAGAATGCCCTGCTTTGGGAGGAGGCTGCAGGGAAGCACCCATCCTCCTTCCGCTTCCATGGGTTTGAAAAAAAAATCATGGAAGGAATACAGAAGAAGATATTATCTAGCCAACTTCAGCACCTAACTTAGCCAGCTTGTCTTCTCGGAGTCCCTCTAGGAGGAGGAGCAACCCCCCAGCAGACAGCTCCCAACACCTCAGTTATTTTAATGGCCACGCACCCTGGAAGAGCTTCTCTCTCTTCCTCCCTGCTAAGGACAGAGGGAGTCCAGGTGGCTGCACTCAGGTTAGGCGCCAGCTTCAGAGTAGTGACAGAAACAGGGGTTTGGAGGTGACGTCGCACCAGGGAAGGCTAAGAGATTCTTCAGGGGATTCCCTTGGGGTGACCCCTTGGTTACAAAGGGATTGACTTGACTTTGCTCTCCCTCTTTGTTTTAGGAGCTAATGAAGTCCTGCTTGTGATCGGCGGCTTTGGCAGCCAGCAGTCACCTATTGATGTTGTGGAGAAGTATGACCCGAAGACTCAGGAGTGGAGTTTCTTGCCAGTAAGGGACCGTTTTTGATCACCACTGGGTTGAACAGGCTGTGATCAAACACTGATCTTGTAGCATCAACTATTTAACTTTGCATTCTGCTTAGAATTTCTGCGTAAATTCTAGAGTTGCTGAGGTTTACCTAGCGAACGCTGAAACCGCTTTGCGTTTGCAGATTTGCTAAGTAAGCTTTGTATAAGAGGTGGTTGTCATATTTCTAATCAGATGAGCCTACAGAGACCCACGTCTTTGTTGTGGGAATGAGAGCTATCATGTTTCTTATTGAAGGGTGTTAAGCTTGAAGGTTAGTGATGATAATTGGAATGCCAATAGGAATAGTATAATCAGTCCTGCTTTCAGGCAGGCTGCCTGATCTCTCTGATCTCATTGTTTCTGGGCATAATGGGAGATAGTAAGGAAGAGAGAATTCCTGCACTGAGGACTATTTGTACCCAAATTTAAAATCACCTTTATCTGTGTGAAATGGTGGAAAACTGCCTCTTCTTTGATATTGCTAATAATAGAAGATCACCTGGTGTCCCAGAATTTGGTTCTGAGGCTAAAAGCTTCAGGTATTTTCATCAAATATTCCGAGTCTCCATGTTTTCCTATTAACAGTCTCTGCAGGGAGCCAGTGGGAGGCATACAACCCCCCGAGATGCATCAAAGATTCAGTAGCAGCATAAGATAAATGACATTTAATGCAAAATATTTTAGTGCAAGGAGGCCTGGCCATAAGAAGAGAGCATGGCAGAGACAGACTACAGGCAGAGGAAGGCAGACGCAGGCGTTAAGCATTTTAGCCAGGGCTGTATCCTTTAAATCCGTGGTGCTGTTTGCCTCTGTGGTAGTGGGCCATTTTCCAAAAGAGCAGAAAAAGATGGACAAACAGCAGTTGGTCTCCGTGCATCAGTGTTATTTCCTCTCTTTGACCTTTTTATTCTTTATACTGTTTCAGAGCATCACCCGTAAGAGGCGTTACGTTGCTACAGTGTCCCTGCACGATCGGATCTATGTGATAGGGGGGTATGATGGTCGCTCTCGTCTCAGCTCAGTGGAGTGCTTGGATTACACATCAGATGAGGACGGTATCTGGTACTCCGTGGCTCCGATGAACGTACGGCGAGGCCTGGCGGGAGCCACAACCCTGGGAGGTATGTCCTGACGCCGCACGGACAGGGCAGAACAGCTGTTCGGGTCTCGTCCTGAAATGCCCTGAGCTGGTGTGTGCAGAGTGGGATGGCTCCGAGGGAGGGAGGGAGTCTGAAATGCCGGTTCTTACCGTTTGGATGTAGAAATGGAAAACTTGCCCACAGATCCTGAGAGGAGCTCTGCCTCCGCTCCATTCTTACAGCGTGTGTCTGCGTTGAGGGGAAGGAGCTCTATGAGGGATTATGGGGTGGGAAGCTCTCGGAGTGGTGCCAGTGTTGCATATAACTGAGCACAGGACAAGTACAGCAATAACCATGCAGCACTGGAGAGGGACCGGAACTGGAGCATGCGCAGAGAAGGATTCTTAGGACAGACTTGGAAGAAGGGAACTGCTTTACTGAGCAGACCAGAACACTTCAGCTTGCTTATGTTGGCAAAGCAAAGGCCAAGAGGGAATATGATTGTTCTCTATGAGTATAACTTGGCATGAGAAGGAAATGGGCAATGTAAGAATTTAATAAGAACAAATGGTTATAAACAGGCCAGGGAAAAATAGGTGTGGAAATGATAGCAAGTTTTCTAGCCATTAAAATAGCAGTTACTCTAATGAATATTCTGTACTTTAACGCTTATATTAGAATATCTCCTGAATAATTAATATTGGTTAAATATTATTCATTTAGATTGCTAATATTCTATTCTAAAGAAAATTCTATTAAAAATGCAGTTGCTTTGAAGGTAACAGATTTGTGAAAGCGTTGCATGAATTAGGTTATCCAGTATGAGGGACTGATCTTGATGATCCAGACATGTCTTTTGGATCTTCTTTCCTGTTGCTACCTGTGTGTTTACTACCTTGTGAGCACTGACTTTGTGGAGGTGCTGACAGGATGCTAGTGATAGGCAGGGTTTGGCCATGGCAGCATTTCAACCGGTTCTGCAGCATGAAAAAAATAACTGGGGTGTGCGTGTTCTCTTTCATCCATCAGCAAGCAGCAGACTTAAGGGCCAGATGGGGTTTGTGTTTGTTTAGTTCGCTGGGTCTGTGAGCAGGCTAATGCAGTCGCCAGGGTGAGGAGGCTGGGTTTGTCTTCGCTCCGAATGTGCCAAGCGCTGTCGTTGTTCCGGTATTTTGCAGTCCATGTTGTAGGCTCAGTCCATCTGCGAGGGCCTGCTTGCTCCATGTGCATGCTTGGTGCTTGACTTCCTGAGTCCAACCTCTGTCTAACGTTGCAGACATGATCTATGTTTCCGGTGGATTTGATGGAAGCCGACGTCACACCAGTATGGAACGATACGACCCGAACATTGATCAGTGGAGTATGCTGGGAGACATGCAGACAGCCCGGGAAGGAGCAGGGCTGGTTGTAGCCAATGGAGTTATCTACTGCCTCGGTAGGTACCCTTAGGACCTCTAGGCACTCTGCAAATACTTGCTTTTTACAGAAATGGCAGTGCAGATGCTGTCTGTGGGGAGCACCAGTTGTGTCATGTCCAGGTTAGAAGATTTAACTTCAGTGCGCAGCTCTGTTGGCGAACGCAGCCCGTTCTCACCGTGACCATTGCCATGGCTTAGACTGGAGCTGCCACATAACTCCAGTAAACGCTGTCAGGCGCACACTGGACACAGTCAGCCTGCCTTTGAGGGACGGCTGAAGCGCGGGGGGTGAGCAGTGCCAGCTGAGGTTTGCAGGGACAAGGCAGTGGCTAAGATGCCCCAGAGATGACGCAGATAGCCACAGGACAGAGGGTGCGTCTGCTCTGCACAAAGCAGTGTTGGCTGTAGTGCTCCAGAAACGGATCCTGAGTTGTATGTGTTCCAGCTCCTTTCTGTATTACTCGTTTCATTTTCGGACACCCACGCCAGCTGTGAATATGGTGAGAAGTCACTCCAAAGACTTCAGTAAGCTTGTTCTGTAGATACACCTTCTGGGTCCCAGAAGAGGCAGGCCCAGCACTGTACCCACATTTGTTGCAGTCCTGTTCCTGGGGAGTCATGGGTATTGGACACTGGGTTATGGGTTTCACTTCCCCCTCCCAAATTCCTCTTCCTCACGCTGTCCCCCAAGGTAGATGCCAGCACGCTGCTCCTTTGCTGAAGCTGCAGAATGAGATTTCCCTCTTGTGAAATAGCTCTTGGGGACGTCCCAGCCTACACTGTGTAGCCTCAGCATCAGCTGGCAGCTGCAGCACACAGACCCTGAGCCAGCGCCAGGTCTGGAAGCTGTCCATCTGCTTTAGCAGGACAGCACTGGCATGCTCAGAGGCAGCTTCGGGCAGTGCGGTGCTGATCTGGTTGTACTGGTTTGGAGAGGTGATGCTCTCTCCCAGCACGGCCCTGTGCAGTGCAGGGACAGAGCTTACTCTGAGCTGGCTCCAGTCTGGCACTGCAAACTGCGGAGATCCTCTTTGTTCTGCCAGCACATTGTGAGTTGTGCTGATTGCAGTGCAATGCTGTACTGAGGATGAACCAGGCATGTTATTGCTCTCTACACAGAAAACATTTTCCAAAAGTCAGACCCATGGTTTGCTCCTGCATTTTGTTTCAGGTGGCTACGATGGGCTGAACATACTGAATTCTGTAGAGAGGTATGATCCCCACACTGGACACTGGACAAATGTCACTCCAATGGCCACTAAGCGTTCAGGTAAGAGTCCACAGCGCCTGGAGGTGAAAACGTTTCGTGCTGCACTGCAGAAGCAGTCGCTGCTGCCTTGTCCTGCTGCCCTGCAGGATGTTGACTGGCCCCAGCGGGTGGTTTGGCTGTGAGAGGGGATGATTGTAGGGCATGCTGACTTAACTCCCCAAGAGAAAGGTTAATTTTCACATGCCTGATGTCTCTAGCCCATGCTAAGAGGGATGTGGAGGGGTGGTTGCAGGCTACACGGAGGGAGAGGAAGTCTCGTGTGACTTCCATAACTAGGAACAGCGCACAGCTTGGAGAAAAGCTAGCAAGGAACAACGGACAGACCGTAGTGGAAGATAACGGAGCCGCTTGCAAAGTCGGTGCTCGTGGGCTGCACAGGGCATGGCAGAGGCCGGAGTGCTCTGGCAGGCCCTCCTTCACCCCCGGGGCAGCACCAGCGCACAGAGCAGCGCTGCCAGAGCAGTGTCCTGCTGCAACAGTCTTACGCTAACGACTTGAAGTGTGGTGCAGTCACACGTTAATTACCCACCACCAGCTCTTAGTTTGTCTTTCCTGCTTGGCGCCCTGTCCAAGCTTTAAGTTTGGCAGCTGTATTGGGAGAGAAATATAGTTTAAATCCTACTTTTGGAGTACCTTTCTGTCTCTGCTCTCCTTCATTTCTCAGAGGAGTTCGTGTGGGGCTCGTGCAGCCCTTGTGTGCTCCAGCGTTCGCCCTCTGCTATTGCACTGCGCCTCGGGCTGCCTGCCCCAGACCTCCGTGGCCGTGCTAGCGAGCAGCCGTGGCCTTGCTTAGCCATGTGTGGATGGGCAGGATGCTCAGTGCCTCCACAGCTTTGTTATTCTCGATGGAGTAGTTCTGCTGTGCTCACAGGCCCTCTTTCTAAACCCTTTTGAAGTTGCTTTTTCTCTAGTTCTCTCAATAAATGTCCTTTACAATTAGCCTAGGCAGCATTGTTTCTGATTGCTCTCTGCCGCAGTGTTCTTCTTTAGGGACCGGTGCTGGTTACTCAGTTAAAACTGGTCTCTGTTCTAAAAACATTGAAGCTTTCTTTTGCCTGCAGTGGCATTCATCAAACCCCAAGCTTTAAATATTTACTCCTGTGACAGGGCTATTCCTGCGAAGTGTGGGTTGGAAAGTATTTCCCATATGCCAAGAATGGATTCGATTTAGAAGTTGGTCGCTTTTCACATCCAGGAAGACCCCACGTAGAAACATGTGATAAAATCTCTGGGTTTTCCTACATTGGAGGCAACATGCGAGACCTATCCCTGGCTCTCTAGAAAGATTAAGGATGAGACAGCTTTCCCCAGGGGGTCTGCTGTGTGCTCCAGAGAAGATGGCTTCTGGCAAGACTAAAAGCAAAGAGTTCAAGGGGAAAGCCTTTTATAAGAAGCCTTTCCCAGGTCCGTGCTAGCTTCCCACGAGACTCGGAGCCTTTTGGTAGCAGTGCTTCGGCCCCCAGAGCAGGCTCCTCAGTGCCACAAGCGAGTGGGAACGCTGGGAGGCTCTTGACGCTGAGACTGACTCAGCCAGGTGCCCTCCTCAGTCGTGTGACCTGGAACACTGAGGTGTGCCCAAGAACATGTTTTGGCCTAGGTTTTTGTGCTGCCACTCTGTGGTACTAACACCCTGAACTACTGGGAGTTTAGAGACCAGTTGTACTTGCAACCTCCATCCTGGTATCAGTTCCAGTCCATCCAGCTTGCTGACCTTGGGCCCTGTAGGACTTCTTTTGCCCCAAGGCTGTGACAGTCTTTCTAGAGCTGTCTGCTTGTGGGTCTTCGAATTGCAAGAAAGACTGGGACTAAAAGTAATCTTGCCTTTGTTCACAGAGATTGTCTCCTCCTTGTTGCTTTTCATCTCTTAGGACAGATTCTGGAGGTAGGCCACTGCTCAGAAACCATGGCCATATTGCTGGACCCAACCTCCCTGATCAGGCCTTGGTCTGGTCTCTCTTCTCAGCTAAAGTCTTCCTCACTGAAGCTATCAGAGAGGCCATCAGGGCAGCCTGGCCCCTCCCAGCTGTTTTGAGGCTCACAGCAAGGAGAGACGGTGAAAGTGAGGTTGCATTTAGTGGAACAGAAAGTGTCTTGTATTCTGTTTGTGAGGAAACAGGTTGGTGCCCAAGAGCTACAGGGTAGCTGGCTTGTTTCCTTTGGGATATTCATCCGTGCAGCGTGTTGATGGTGACAGTCTGACAGTGTTTACTCTGCTCTCAAGATGCAGCTCGAAACAGCAGCGGCTGTTGGCAAGAGCACCTAAGGCCACTAAGTGCATTGCTATCGCACTGCGTTCTTTGGTACGTTACCTGAAGGAGCTGCAGATGAGGAGCAGAGGCTGGCAGAGGTTTGTTTTCTGCTGTTGTCATGAATTCCCAGTTGTCCCAACTGTATTACTGATTGCTTTTACTGGGGCAGGTGAGAACAGCTGTTCAGACAGATGCTTCGGCCACTTATGGCTCTGTATGCAGTGGACACCCATTTTCATTTCCCTGCCTCCCAGAGGAGCGATGTCAAGGAAATCCCTCCTCCGGCTTCACACGGAGCAGCGTCATTCTCCTTGTAAGAGCCAGGGGCTGGGTGACACCAAGGAGCCAGGAACACCAGAGAAGCCTGTCTCTGTGGCGACAGAGTCCCAGCTGGCTGCCCGCCAGCAGAGTGAGCCTCATGCTGGTCCGTTCAGGGCGTTGGGGTGTCTTTCAGCCAAGGTGAACATCTCCTCTTGCTGCTGCTGCCCTGGCTGCAGTGTTGCTCAGTCCCCCTTACGCCAGAGATTCAGCAGCATTTGGTAGAGTGACAGGTTTTCGTGTATTGTGTTGGAGACCACACCACCAGAAGACACTGGGTTATGACAGCTCTTTTGTGGGAGATATAAGCATAAGAAAATGTCCTCTGAAGAGGGAGGAACTGCCCTAGCTCAGCTTTGTAAGAGCGAGCCCCGGCACGGTGCTGGCGGCGTTGCGCAGCGGTGTAACTGTGCTGCCTTATCTCTCTCCAGGGGCCGGAGTGGCTCTGCTGAACGACCATATTTACGTGGTTGGGGGGTTCGATGGCACAGCACATCTCTCCTCCGTGGAAGCCTACAATATTCGCACTGATTCCTGGACAACTGTAACAAGCATGACGACCCCCCGCTGCTACGTGGGGGCCACCGTGCTGCGGGGAAGGCTGTATGCCATCGCTGGGTAAGCGGCTGCGCGGGGCTGGAGAGGGAGACGCCCTGCATGTCTGTTTGCGCTTACAAGTGAGTTGAGGTGACACAGCCTGCTGCCCTGTGTCAGGTGGTTTCTCCTCACATTTATATTTTGAGCTTTGTGAGAGGAGACAGCCCACAGAGTCACCGTGCCCAACCCAAATGGGCAGCCTGATGGTCCAGGGCCAAGACAGGCAGGAGAGCAGCAGCAGACACCAAAAGGGAGCCTAATGCGGTGGGTTTATTTCAGGCCGTTCCTGCTGTACGCAGCTGTCCTGTCTCCCAGGAAGGGCTCTAAGTGCCTCAAGCTTGGAAATGACCTCTAAGATCATCAAGTCCAACCGTCACCCCAACACCACCATGCCTGCTAAACCATATCCCAAAGTGCCACATCTACATGTTTTTTGAACACCTCCAGGGATGGTGACTCCCCCACTGCCCTGGGCAGCCTGGTCCAATGCCTGACCACTATTTCAGTAAAGAAATTTTTCCTGATATCCAACCTAAACCTCCACTGACGCAACTTGAGGCCATTGCCTCTCGTCCTAGCGCTGGTTAGTTGGGAGAAGAGACCAACCCCCCCTCACTGCACCCTACTGTCAGCAGCTGTAGAGAGCGAGAAGGTCTCCCCTCAGCCTCTTCTTCTCCAGACTGAGCAGCCCCAGCTCCCTCAAC